CTCCTTTTGTTGCAAATGCTTTGTTCTATGTTCTTTTATTATTTATTTTTAATTTCCCATATTTGTAGAAGCCCGCTTATTCCTTGCCACAGACCCGATTACTGCATTCACCCAACTTAGTACTGCTGTACAAATTGGCGAGAAACTGAAATGTATACCGGATTATGCGGCCATTGAAAACGATCTGCTGGAACAGATAAAACCTCTGTTTCCCAATCAAGCCATAAAAATATATAAATTCGGCTCACGAATGTCAGGAATTGGTACACGTGACTCCGATCTGGATTTATTTATAGACATTGGAGATACATTTAAAGTTTATCAAAATCGTGCGAACGATGCAACATTGGCCAAGTTGAAAAAGGTTAAACAAGTTCTGATTAATCACAAAAAGTCATGGAAGGGTCTGGTGGCCGTCGAAAAAGCTCGTGTTCCCATACTGAAGGTAATACATGGCCCTACCAGTATTGAGTGCGATATGAATTTCTCCAATAGTTTGGGCTTCATAAATACAAATCTTATGGAATACATATACGGACTCCAGCCAACCGGTGAGTAATACAATGAAAGAAATGTTGTGTGTGTGTGTCATTGGGTTTATTTTTAATGCTTTTGGTTTTGATTCTCGCAGCTCGTGTGCTATGCATTTATATGAAAAGATGGCTCCAACTTATTGGCATGAAAAATGATTTCAATACTTACAGCATAAATTTAATGGTGATTTTCTATTTACAAACCTTGGAACATTTGCCACCAATTGCCAAACTGTTTGAAGATGTTAATATGGAAACAGCTCTTGTCATAGGACGTAAGTGCAAATGAAATCGATTTTTTTATTTTTGCTTTTATTAAATGGTTTCTATCTCATACAGCATGGTTGGGAACATTCACTTCAAAAAATCTTCAAGCTTTGAAAATCAAGTACCTTGACACCGGTAAACTATTTGATCTCATTGAAGGTTTCTTCAAGTTTTATCTGGAGTTTGATTATAACCGCAATGTTATTTGTCCATATCAAGGATCGGTGATTAGTAAGAAAGATTTGCATACATGTATGCCAGAAAGGTAAATTCTGAAATACAAAATTTGTATTGACAAATAAAACTGTTATTTCTGTTCTGTTCTTTCTATTTTTTTTAGATATCTAAACTTTGTGGCCAATAACAAAGATTTGGAAATTGAACTAAACAAACCGTTGGTTGTTCAGGATCCCATACAACTCAATCATAATGTGACAAAAGGAATTGTTGACTTTACATTGAAAGTATTCGTAGAGTTTATGTCGAAATCTAGACAAATAGTTTTACAATTTAAAAGGCAATGATTTAATTTGAAATCGGACAAGACTAGAAGTTATTTTAATTTTATATTACTAACAAATAAGTTGTTATTTTTAGTGTTATCTACAATGATCTTTTTATTGTCTTGAAAAATGAATTGAAAATACGTTTTTATTTTTGTTATAATAAATATATATATAAACATATATACAGGTTGAATGAAAGCAAAACATGTCGGAAATAGTTACAAATTTTAGAATAAGTTTAGATCTCTTTGAATTGGTCACCTTTGGCACGAATTATGGCCTTCAGACGGACAATGAAACCCTCACACGCTGCCAAAATGTTGCTCTGCGGTATTTTGTGGCCCATTCCCGGCAAAGCGCTTGCTTGAGGTGATCGACACTCGGGTATTTTTTTAGTGCCAACCTTGTTTTCCAAAATACTCCAGGTAATATAGTTCAACGGATTAGTATCCGGAGATTTTGGTGGCCATTGTGCGCCAGAAATGAAGCGAGGAACCCCATGTTGTAACCATTCTTGGGTGGCGCGTGCTGAGTGCAATGGTGCTGGGTCCTGTTAGAATGTGCAAGGTATGCGGCCAAAATGTTTGCGTGCCCAAGGCTTTAATACAACCTCCAGAATATTTTCGCAATAATATTGGGCATTTATTCTGATGTCACGGTCGATTAAAAGCGACCATCGGCTGTTATGGCAGCCCAAACCATCATCATGGCCGGCACTTAAGTTCTGGTGGCCAAACGAAGGGGCACATTTGCAGCTGACCTTTTTGGCAGGTTAACACGATCATTTTGCTTGTTTACAAACTGCTGGACAACGAATGTTTTCTCAAGGGTTAATCCCAAATTCGGCAGTTCACCACTTTCGGCCAAGCGCAGAAACTCTTTAGCTCTATTGAGTCTATTTTCTTTCTGTTGCGGTGTAAGTTCTTGCACTTTTTTTTGAATTTCAATGGCTTTCATTTATTCGACGGCGCTGAAACCGCGGCCGCCGCTGCTGTTGGTGGTGGTTTATCGGTAATAACAGCTGTTTCGGGTTTATTCTTTTCCTCAGTACCACCATTTGTCTGGTTTTGGGTATGATGCTGTTGTAGTTGCTGCTGTTGCATCATTTGCTGTTTCTTGTTCATTTCTTCAATTTCAGCTTGGGTCATAACTTTGATATTTGGTCCCTCGGGCTTGGTCCAAGTAGTTTCTCTTCTCAGGGCATGATAATAAAATGATTTGCCATCTTGGGTTTTGGTTTCCACCCACAGCTCTAACTGTGGGGGTCCTCTAACCGGTGGTCCACCGGGCGGTACATTATTGTTGGACCAATTTGGATCGAATGAGCGATTGCCGCGGAGAATCCCAAATTCGGCAGTGGTTTCCCAGCCAAATAAAAAGAAATCACGCATGAGTTCCATCGCGAATAACTTTTTTTCTGGAAAATTCTCAACAAAATGCTTTTCGTTCGCTTGTAAACAATATAATGAGCTGTCACTGGAATAATTTTAACAGCTGTCGGACGTGTGGCTTAGAAATGACAGCAGTCTAGCGTAGTTTGCAGTTTTATCTCACTCTGTATATTTGCGAACCCCTTCTGGTACCTAACCCAAAAAGAGTAACAATTTTCAATACTTGTATTTATCATAACTTGCGAAACAATTCGGCGATTCTTTACAACTTGTGCTACATCTAAATATTTCTCTTGTGAATATGTAATTTATCGGAATTTATGATTTCCCATAAAAATGGATATAAATGTCAGATTTCCTTCAAATTTTACACATACCAATATTTTTATACCCTCCACCTTGGAAAGGGTATATTAACTTTGTCATTCCGTTTGTAACATCCTTAAATATTCGTCGTAGGCCCCATAAAGTATATATATTCATAATCAGCATAAAATTCTTAGTCGATTTAACAATGTCCGTCTGTCTGTCTGTTGAAATCACGATACAGCCCACATCATTTAACGTAGAGCGCCAAAATTTAGCAGAGCAATTTGTATTGTGTCTAGGATGGTTGGTATTGAAAATGAGATATCGGTCAACGTTCTGGTATAGTCCCCATATAACGGTACCTACCGATATTCGGTATTTTGATGATTTATGCCACATTTTTTCACGGATTTGTCTGAAAATTGGTATTTGTAGGTCATAATGGGTCCTAGTTCGTGTGGCAAAACATTGCATGTATAGGTCCACGTTTTGGTATAGCCTCCATATAAAGGTATCTTCCGATATTCGGTATTTTGATTATTTTTGCCACATTTTTTCACGGATTTGTCTAAAAATTGGTATTTGTAGGTCATAATGGGTCCTAGTTCGTGTGGCGAAACATTGTATGTATAGGTCCACGTTTTGGTATAGCCCCCATATAAAGGTACCTCCCAATATTCGGTATTTTGATTATTTTTGACACATTTTTTCACGAATTTCTCTGAAAATTGGTATTTGTAGGTCATAACGGGTACCTGTACGTGTGGCGAGTCATTGTAATTATAGGTCCACGTTTTGGTATAGCCCCCATATAACGGTACCTACCGATATTCGGTATTTTGATGATTTATGCCACATTTTTTCACGGATTTGTCTAAAAATTGGTATTTGTAGGTCATAATGGGTCCTAGTTCGTTTGGCGAAACATTGTATGTATAGGTCCACGTTTTGGTATAGTCCCCATAAAACGGTACCTCCCAATATTCGGTATTTTGATTATTTTTGCCACATTTTTTCACGGATTTGTCTGAAAATTGGTATTTGTAGGTCATAATGGGTTCTAGCTCCGTTGGCAAAACATTGCATGTGTAGGTCCACGTTTTGGTATAGCCCCCATAAAACGGTACCTCCCAATATTCGGTATTTTGATTATTTTTGACACATTTTTTCACAAATTTCTCTGAAAATTGGTAATTATAGATCATAATGGGTCCCAGTTCGTGTGGCGAGTCATTGTAATCATAGGTCCACGTTTTGGTATAGCCCCCATATAACGGTACCTCCCGATATTCGGTAATTTGATGATTTTTGCCACATTTTTTTACGTAATTATCTGAAAATTGGCATTTATAGGTCATAATGGGTTCTAGCTCCGTTGGCGAAACATTGCATGTGTAGGTCCACGATTTGGTATAGCCCCCATATAATGGTACCTCTCGATATTCGGCATTTTAATGGGTTTTGCCACATTTCTTCTAATTTTTCCTTTACCCTAAGGTGGAGGGTATTAAAAGTTTGGCCCGGCCGAACTTAATGTTTTTTTACTTGTTTCATCTGTATTAGATGAAGTATGAAAATGGAATACTTCGGTCCGCTATATTTGTTACCTCACGCATATTTCAATATTTTCCAAAAATTTGCTCATATCTCCGATAAAGTATAGGACTTAGTCGATATAGTCAAAATCTGGCACATTGTAATATTTATATCCGTCTTAGGTCACATAAGAATTGGTCAATATTGGCCCAGTGCTTGGTAACCTCGCCCACAAATGGTCAACAGTTTGTGTAAACATAACTCAAGGCTGGGGGATTACATCTGTCGGCAAAACCGACTGATACTATTTGACTTGTTTTAAATGAATTTCAATACTAAGTTGGCGTTAGACCAACCAACAGCCAAAGTAAGACTGATTCTCAGATCAGTTGTGCTCTTTTTGTTATATGTCATGAGGAGTATGTAAATTTAGAATTGTTATCAGGCATCACCTTGACCCGTCTTTTATTCGATGCTATCTGTGTTTTTATGCTTCTCAGGGAAAAGTCTAAACGACAATGTTGTTAGTCTTTGTCAAGCACTGAAATATCGCGTACCAAAATGATGGTCTTCAATAGCATAGCCAGCGCCGTTTTGGCTGTGTTAGTAATTGCTGCAGCCGGGATGTGTGGCGAAAGCCTTTTTTTAGTATGTTTCATGTAAAATACACCGCGAGAGAGAGAAAGGTCAAAAATTATATTCTTACCATATTCTTTTTCCATATTAGCCAGTTTGTAGTGGAGACGCCTGCCCTGAGGGCTATGTGTCAACAGTGATTAATGGCATGTGTGGCTGCTCTCCCAGTGGACAAAGGCGTGTGCATTGCCCGGAAGGATCGGTTTTCGAAAATAATCAGTGTCGCAAGATCGTTTGTCCCGACGGTGAATTCTACAGAGGAATGTGCTTGCGGGCCATGTGTCCGCCCGGCATGGTGTGGCGTGGTAAAATGTGCCAAGAACCAGAATATCTCACCACAGTTCTGCAAATAGAAAATGTGGTGACTAATGAGGTGCGCAGACGACCTGCCTATCTGGAAGTTAGAACACGGAATACCACCACACAGAACGGATTCAATACATCTAATTTCGAAAATGTAATAAAATCCGAACATTTCAACTCTAAGGATATGGCTAAGGATTCGCCAAGCTCCACAAAGCACTCGGAACTCACAATGCCCAAAAACGCATTTAACAATCATTCGAAAAAGAGCATTGAATTGCCGAGCGGATCAACAAAAAACAATGCTGCGCCAACATTCGTGGGCTGTTGCACAGTGTACACACCTCGCATTTGCAAGATATATGGCCAAAAATGGATTTGCTTCAATCGCAAGAAGGATTCATGCGACACCAGAATATGCACTGCTGCGATAGTGTACCTCAAGCCGCCAGAAATTAAATACAGCCATCCAACTCTAATTATACCCCCATCCACGGCATCAGCGACAACAGGAGGTATTCCACCGCCGGCCAAGAGCATTTCCCCTAGCCCAATATTTTGTGCTAAGACATTTTTTTTTCTTTCTTCTTTCCAGCTGATAATAATGTTGCTCCCGACTGTTCCGGTTGTGCACTCAATCAACCAGAAAAATGTTCCGCTTATTGTTCCACTTATAGATGTCCACAGGGTGTTTGTGAATTTAAACCTTTAGAGGAATACTGTCGCCATTATTCTGGACAATTCGGTTGTACACCAAAGGATGGATGTTTATGGGATTGGTGTTGAGTACTACGGTTCGAAACCACATTTATTCAAGCTTCTAGCGTTTCGAAATTATGATTATTCCAAGCCTTAATTTGAAAACCTTGCAAATGAAATGATGGAACAACTCTAATTTAGTAAAAACTCTTCAATTTTTCGAAAATTGTCTCCAGAGGTAGGTATTTTTACCCTGATTCCGGGGCCCCAGATTTTTGACCCGAAAGTCCGCGTTCAATACCCGGGAAAGGTAAGAGTGTCAGCTATAATTTGGCATCAATTTTTTTGACCCCCCTAACGGGCCCTTTTTCCACTTTTTGGGGGTCAGGAAAATCAATAATTTTACTATAACTTCCGAACCGCTCATTGGTGCGGAACTTGAACCAGGAATTTCGGGTCCAAAATCTGGGGTCACGGAACCGTCTCCCCGAAAAAAAAAATTTGTTTCCCAGAATCAGGATAAAAATACCTACCACTGGAAAAAAATTCCAACAAATTTAAGAGTTTTTACTAAACTAGAGTTAAGCCGAAATGATTTATCAAAAGAACAGAAACACGACTAGAATTCATTGTTTTTATTTAGTTTGTTGACCTTTTGGTAATGTGGCAAATAAAAGACAAGATTTTAATTGCATTGCTTCCCGATGTTTCGTCACTTTTTTGGGCGATATCTTCAGAGGAGTTCGTCTATTTAAATAAACCCATGGTAGAAGAATATTGATATGTCAAAATTTTTAAAATGTTTTTTTTTTCAAATATAAGTCGATTTTTATATGATTTCTAATACGATGTCAATCGGAGGCTATTATGTGCGTTTTTCAGCAATTTTTACAAATTTGTATAATTTTCCATTCAAAATTTTCTATTCCAAAATTGGTTTGACAGTTCATTGTGCCATTATCCATGATATGTCAAAATTTTTAAAATGTTTTTTCAAATATAAGTAGATTTCTATATGTTTTCTTATACGACGCCAATCGAAGGCTATTATTATGTGTGTTTTTTCAACAAGTTTTACAAAGTTGAATAATATTTCATTCAAAATTTTCAAATCCAAAATTGGTTTGACAGTTCATTGTCCCATCACCTGTATCGATGCGTCTATCAGTGTTCTTCTACCCTATTTTGACTGGCTTAAGTCATCGGCTGTTTTTTTTTTTTGTAAATTAACAAAGGAGCTTAAGGTTGACTTAGTTCAATTTTGGCCCAGAATTTATATTTGTTAACTATATGCTCCTTTGTTCCTACGCGAAGGAGCCGTACTCGAATGGTGCTCTCACCGTTATTCTGTTTCTTTTCACAATTCGTAGTCCAAAAAGAGTTTTCATATTTAATAGTTAAATAAAACACAACTCTTAGCGTTGCCAAGCTCACATATTCACAATTTGTATTCCTTCATTCTCCACTACTCTTTCACACATAAATTTGCTACGGGAAAACTCCTTTGTTCCTATATGAAGAAGCCGTAATCGGCTGGCCAGTAAAAACAACTTTTTCTATGTGTTCTCACCGTTATTCTGTTTCTTTTCAAAATTCGTGGTCCAAAAATGAGTTTTCATACTCAACAGTTAAATAAAACACAACTCTTCGCGTTGCCAACCTCACATATTCACAATTTGTTTTCCTTCATTCTCCACTACTCTTTCACACATAAATTTGGTACGGGAAAACTCCTTTGTTCCTACATGATGAAGCTGTAATAGGCTGGCCAGTAAAAAAAAACCCTTTTTCTTGGTGTTCCCACCGTTATTCTGTTTCTTTTCACAATTCGTGGTCCAAAGAGAGTTTTTATACCCCACAGTTAAATAAAACACAACTCTTCGCGTTGCCAACCTCGCATATTCACAATTCGTATTCCTTCATTCTCCACTACTCTTTCACACATACATTTGTTACGCGAAAAAACCATCCCTGAGTTCTCAAATACACAAATATTCCCTCAACTGACAACACTGTGACATGAAATACAGAAGAAGCTCGTGAAAAAAATTATTCATTGGAAAAAGATTTTATGAAATAGTGATAAAAAGTTAAAACAATTAACTATAATATGGAGCCAATGGCTGAAGTCAATACCAACGATGAGGTCAACAACAAAAATGAACTACCAGAAATTACCGATAATCCACAGACGGCAGCAGCTAATGGCGTTAGTCCATCGGGGGCAGGTGTAGCAGCGCAAAACCAAGAAAATGCTGAGACGTCAGAGAAAAATGATAAAGAATGGTAAGATCTACATACTAAATATTTTGTGTGCTTGAGAAAATTAAATCAATCTCATTTAGGTTACAAGGCCAAGTGCAAAAAACCCCCATAATGACTGCACCGCCTGGATTTAGGCCTGCTGCAGCTGGTGCGGGTGCTGCTGTTAGGAGTGGCGGTGTAAATATGCATTTTAATAGGGGCGGTGGCAGAGGCGGCGGCGCTGGTAATTTTGGCAATCGCCCATTCGATCCAAATTGGTCCAACAATAATGTACCGCCCGGTGGACCACCGGGTGGAGGACCCCCACAGTTAGAGCTGTGGGTGGAAACCAAAACCGAAGATGGCAAATCATATTATTATCATGCCCTGACAAGAGAAACTACTTGGACCAAGCCCGAGGGACCAAACATCAAAGTTATGACCCAAGCTGAAATTGAAGAAATGAACAAGAAACAGCAAATGATGCAGCAGCAGCAACAACAACAACAGCATCATACCCAAAACCAGTCAAATGGTGGTACTGAGGAAAAGGATAAACCCGAAACAGCTGTTATTACCGATAAACCACCACCAACAGCAGCGGCGGCCGCGGTGGCAGCGCCGTCGAATGTTTTAACATCACAGCCACCACCAGGGTTGCTATCGCAACCACCTCCAAGTGCCCATCAACAACCGCAGCAGCAGCAAGTGCCCCAGCAACATGCACCACCACATCAGGCAATGACACAACCTCCGCCTAATGTTGCCGCAGCAGTGCCTGGCGGCCATCCTCAAGTAAGTCAACCACCACCTGGTATGCATCAACAACCGCCACCATTCTTTCCGCCTGGTGTCCATCCACCTAATTTTGGTCAACATCCTCCCTTCGGAATGCCTCCACCAGGCTATGCGGCTGGATTTCCGGGAGCACCTGGTGGTCCTGCCGCCCCTTGGGGAATGCCCTGGAACCACATGCATCAAGTTCCGCCACAAGATAAACCTGCCAAAAATCTCATCATTAAACCTGGTGTCATCGATCCAGCAGTTATAGCGCGTGCCGCCGAATGGTCGGAACATAGGGCTCCCGATGGCAGACCTTATTATTATCATGCTGGACGCGGGGAAAGTGTGTGGGAAAAACCGCAAGCATTACGTGACATGGAAGCCGCACGTATGGCTGCTCATGGTGCCCCACAAGTTGCTGCCCCACCTCCCGTTCACAATCCAGCTTTGATACCTGGTATACCTCCACACCTGATACCGCTAATGCACATGCAACCGGCAAATCATGCTGCCGCATTTGTTGATCACTCAGCCGCCAAGGCTGCAGAGAATGCAAAAGTTTCACAAACGGCTGCCCTAGAGAAAGAGGCTAAAAAGTATGCCGAAGAGAAACGCAAAAAGGCCGAAGAAGAACAAAAGAAAGCAAATGCAACAGCAAAGCCGGTGGATAAGAGTAGACCCATATCCAGCACGCCAATACCGGGTACACCATGGTGTGTTGTCTGGACAGGAGATGCTCGTGTCTTTTTCTATAATCCTTCAACGAGAACATCGGTCTGGGAGCGTCCAGAAGAGTTGCTCGAACGCGAAGAAGTCGACAAAGCAATCAACAATCCACCGGAACAACTAAAGAGTTTGGTCAATGCCAAAGCAAATGCCAAGGAAGAAGCTGAAGCTGAGGAGAAAGCATCAACAAATCACAGCGCCGGCAATTCTGTGGCAAACAATGCTGTAAAAATCCATATCATTGAGGACAATCAAGCCGATGATGAAGATGATGGTGTGATAAAAATTAAAACAGAATCGGATTCAGATGTTGAAGAAGTTCCCACCAAGAAGTTACGTTTAAGTAAGTGTACTATTTTGTGGTATAAAAAAAAATTAAATTTAATTTATTTCTACATTTTTTAGATAAAACGAAAAAGGCTGATGCCAGTGAAGCTGCTGCCGAGGCTGAGGTGAGGGCAGCCAAAGAGAGAGCCTTGGTACCCTTGGAAACCAGAGTAAAACAATTCAAAGAAATGTTAAGAGAGAAGGATGTAAGTATTGCATAACTTCTTGCAATAAATTGTTTAAATGTTTTAATAACTTATTTGGTATTTGGATCAGGTATCTGCCTTTAGTACATGGGAAAAAGAGCTGCATAAAATCGTCTTTGATCCCAGATACTTGCTGCTGACATCCAAGGAACGCAAGCAGGTGTTTGAGAAATATGTAAAAGATCGCGCCGAAGAGGAACGCAAAGAAAAACGCAACAAAATGCGACAAAAGCGTGAAGAGTTCCGTAATCTCTTGGAAGAATGTAAATTGCATGGAAAGTAAGTAGTAGAGAACATAAATCGTGATGATGTTTAAGAGTTTTGATTTATTTTCAAAGAACCAAAATTTGGAAATCTTAAATATTTCATTTTTAAGATGACAACGATCTTTTTTAGAAAAATTCATTACTTACAACAGATTTAAACAATTCTTATTTAAAAAATCTGCAACGTAATTGTCACACCGACAAATGATACATATCCTGTATTAGCAGGATGGATGCTTGAATTCGTTTTCTTTGAGCGTTTTGTTTTTTTAAGATCTTGAATCCTACCTGAAGAAATGGTCCGATTTCTACCATCTTTATGGCAAATCTTGTGTCGATGGAAATATTGAGATGCACCTAGTCTGAATGAAATTGAAGATTAATTTCGAGTTTTATGAGCTTTATGAATATCCAAAATGTTGACCCATTGTGGGAGGGGTACCAAAAGGAGTGTACCGATACATTCCATCTTCACACCAGACCTTGGGTTAAAAAATATATTATGATGTGTCTAATTTAAAGAGAACCGGTTGCTTATTTCAGTTTTTATGACCGCTTTTGTTGTTCAAAACTGTACCCTTGGTAGGGGAGGAATGAAGGAAGGAATGGCCCGATCTCTACCATCTTTATAACAGACCTTGTGTTGATAGAAATATTGAGATGTGCCAAGTCTGAATGGAGTCGGATGTTAATTTCGCGTTTTATGAGCTTCATGGATATACAAAATTTGAACCTTTGTGGGGGAGGTACCAGAAGGAGTGTACCGATACATTCCATCTTCACAGCAGATCTGGTATTAGTAGAAATAATGGGATATGTGTAAGTTGAAGAGAACCGGATGCATATTTCGGATTTTATGACCGTTATGGTTATTAAAAACGTTGGCCCTTTGTGGTGGAGGTACCAGAAGGAATGGCCTGATCTCTACCATCTTTATAACAGACCTTGTGTTGATAGAAATATTGAGATGTGCCAAGTCTGAATGGAGTCGGATGTTAATTTCGAGTTTTATGAGCTTCATGGATATTCAAAATTTTGAACCATTGTGGGGGAGGTACCAGAAGGAGTGTACCGATACATTCCATCTTCATATCAGACCTTGGGCAATTAAAAATAGTGTGATGTGTGTAATTCAAAGAGAACTAGATGCATATTTCGGATTTTATGACCGTTATGGTTATTAAAAACTTTTACCCTTTGTGGTGGAGGTACCAGTAGGAAGGGTCCGATCTCTACCATCTTCATAACAGGTCTTTTGCTGATAGAAATATTGAGATGTGTCAAGTCTGAATGGAATCGGATGTTAATTTCGTGTTTTATGATCTTCATGAATATTAAAAACATTGACCCTTTGTGGGAGGGGTACCAGAAGGAGTGGACCGATATATTCCATCTTCACATCAGACCTTGGGTAATTAAAAATAGTGTGATGTGTGTAATTTGAAGAGAACTACATGCATATTTCGGATTTTATGACCGTTTTGGTTATTAAAAACTTTGGCTCTTTGTGGTGGAGGTACCAGTAGGAAGGGTCCGATCTCTACCATCTTTATAACAGGTCTTTTGCTGATAGAAATATTGGGATGTGTCAAGTCTGAATGGAATCGAATGGTAATTTCGTGTTTTAAGAGCTTCATGAATATTCAAAATGTTCACTCTTTGTGGACGAGTTAATAGAAGAAGTGGACCGATATAGCCCATCTTCGCCCCAGACCTTGGGTTAGTAAAAATATTGTGATGTGTGTAATTTGAAGACAATCAGACACATACATCACATTTTATAAGAGTTATAATTATTCAAATGTTGACCCTTTGTGGGGGAGGTACTTGATGGACCAAATCGTATACTCCCTTCGAGAGTTATCGTGCGCACCAGACAGGCAGTCAGACAGAGGGACGGACGAACATCGCTAAATTTACTCCAAATGTCCTGAAACGGATAGAGTCCAAAGAAACCTAGGGTTTAAAACCGTTATTTCGATGAGAAACGTTTTGGCCGTATCATTAGGGTATAAAAATTCCCGAGATAATTAAAAATTCGGGCAATGTGAATTTCCGGAATTCTTTTTTTAACCACCTTTTAAAATGATTATCCGATTATGATTCGAAAATATATTTCAATCCCCTTTTTCCCCCATTTATTTACAGATCCTCATTCAGTGATTTTTGTCAACGCTATGGCAAAGATGAACGTTACAAAGCCATTGAAAAACCACGTGAACGTGAAAGTCTTTTCAATGAATATCTCTTGGATGTGAGGCGCCGTGAAAAGGAGGAGAAACAAATGAAGAAAGAACAGGTATGTAAAACAAACACTTGTATTTACTTGAGTAAGATTAAAATTTGAACATTTCTCCAAAGGGGAATTCCCTTCTTCTTCCCCAAGGAAGGGAAATCCCCGATGAAAATTCAAATTGTTAATCTAAGGTTGTTGGTGAAAATATAAATGTTGTTTTTTCTTGCAAATTTTTGTAAAAAGAGAAACTTAAACTTATTTACATATATTCTTAGTATTACTTATGTACTATTTTTATTATTAATATTACCTCATATACATATATTTATATATTTTTGTTAAAACCACTTAGCATTCCTTTTCCTAACAATAACATTGCACATATAAAATATATATAAAAAAACCAAACATTTTTAAAAGATTTCAGCATACAGTTTTTGCTACTGCTACTACACAACGTATTATGCAGTCTTCTGTTAATGTGTGTTGTAATTTTTGTTTTTATCAATTAAAAACACGCGAGAGTCCATTTCAAAAATGCCAACGAAACCCCCTTGAAAATATTCAGATGGTGGTTGCTAAAATATATTTTTGGTTGGAAGAAGTGTGAGAGAACGAGGAAGGTATATTAGGCTTAATATGCCGCCTTTTGAGAGAAGCAAAACAGCAGGAGTAGAGTAAGTGCGTCTAATCGCTTTTTATTAGCAAATTTTGTTCACCATATTGTTTAGCAAAAAACCTTTTTTTGTTACCCAAAATATTTTCCAATATCCAACGACACGTGAAAAAACCAAAAATCAAAAAAAAAAAAAAAAACAACCACAGAAAAACACATCCGACAACAAAGCTATATTCCCAACATGAATGAATGGCAGTGAGCGGGTTCGGGCCGTGTGGTCTCTGAGGCTGTTGCATGGAGTATGGCAGTAATCACCACGAACACGAAAAAAACCCAAGGACGAATGTGCACGAATTTAAATTGGCCCTGCATTGAGAACAAAGCTAGATTTACAAACGTACATAATATTTTCCACAACTGTTGTGTGGTGAGTTATCCAAACAAAACAAAAAAAAAACAAACAAACTTCCCTATTCTAACAGAATCAGTTGAATGTTGATCAAATAAAAAAAAAAAAACAAATTAAACGTCAAACAATATACCAATTTGCTGACCTTTATCGTTGGTGCCTTTTTGCATCCTTCTGTTAGGCCCATGGATGGTCCGATGGATGGATGAATGGATGGATTGGTTGTGCTTGCCTGCCTGCTCATAGAAAAAATTTGCTGCTGCTGCTGCTGATTTTGTCGCCAAGGAGTCCAGCCAGCCCACCACCATCACCTCAATGCAAAAGCAAATAGATTTCTGTATCCTGCGCCAGTGTTTTCAAGAAGTCATCTTTACAATTTCCCTGTCATTGTCATTGTGATGACGCTACCACCACCAACACCTCCATAAACCACCGGACACTGTTTGCTGAGAGAAAGAACATCATTCCACTTTCGTTGAAACAGTATGAAAACATAATACCTCTTTATGTTTTTTTTTTTCTTTCTATTTTTTTGATTTTTTTCTTAATACAAAACTTTTCTTCCAGCATTATTGTGTGTGTGTGTGTGTGGCGTAAATAATATTTAATATGTCGCGAGCCAAATTTATGGCACAATTTTCATATTTATTTTTATACTCTACACCATTCGATGGAGGGTATATTATGATTGTCATTCCGTTTGTATTCTGGTTCAGCGTAAAATTCTAAGACGATTTAGAGATGTCCGTCTGTCTGTTGTAATCACGCTATCTTTCGAACGAATTGAGATAGAAGGCTAAAATTTTGCACATATACATAGTTTACCAGTAGGCAGGTTAAGCTCGTAAATGGGCCATGTCCGTCCACCATATAACGTATAACGCCCACATAACGGTACCTTCCGATACTCAGATTTTCAGGATTTTAGCGACATTATTTACCGGAATTATTTCAAATTTCGTATTTGAAGTTCGTAATGGGTACTACAGCCTATGGCAAAAAGTTTTGTATGCCGGACAACATCTTCGTATAGCTCCCATATAACGGTACCTCTCGATACTCAATATTTTCATGATTTTAGCGACATTATTCACCGGAGTTATTTTAAATTTCGTATTTGAAGTTCGTAATGGGCACTACAGCCTATGACAAAAATTTTGTATGCAGGTCAACGTCTTCGTATAGCCCCCATATAACTGTACCTCAAAATACTCGGTATTTTTATGATTTTATCGACATTATTCACTGGAACTGTTTCAAATTTCATATTTGTAGTTCGTTATGGGTTCTACAGCCTATGACAAAAAATCTTATTCAGGTCCTCATATAACGTTTTTCATTTAATTGGTAGTTTTCGGATTTTTTTTTTTTTTTTTGAAAATTTCCAGCTTCCTTCCAAATAGTGAAGGGTTTTAAATGTTCGGCCCGGCCTTTTTTACATGTTTCATCTAAAGAAGGCCAGTAGATGCTACTATGTATCTAGAATAACTATTTGAGTTCTTTTGTCTCTAAACAAATCGATGGAAGTTTTTCGTTAGTTGTTAAAAGCCTTTTTTGAAGTCTTGCAAAACTTAGAAGGACTTTAGGAAACGCCTTCAAGGGCTTAAGTTCATCTCTTCTACACAAAATAGAGCTCAAACATCTTCTCTCCACCCATAGACAAGCTTTTGAGAATCTTCTTTGAAGCGAATATCGTTTAATAATGGATAGATTACCCTAAAAAATCCTTCCATGTGTGGAAGTCCTCTTGTAGGTCCTCTATGAATGAAAGACTTTCAAAGACTTTCAGGTTATGTACGTAGGACCTTCCGAGGATTTCCTATGTACAGAAGGTTTCTTAAGGAATTTTTTAATATAAGAGTTTCAAAAGATTTCAGATTCTATTGATAAAATTCCTTCTAAAAGTCTTCTATGGATAGAATTTCTTCAAAGGTCTTCTATGAAGAAGACCTTAAAATGGTAACAAAGACCTTCAAAGTACTTTTTTTTATTTATAGAACACTTTTAAAGGGTTTTATATGGAAGTCCTTCAAATAGTAGGAATAGAAGTCCTTCAAAAGGTCTTTTTTGAATAAAAGTTCTTCAAAAGGGCTCCTATGGATAAAAGGCCTTTGAAAGATCTTTTATGGATAGAAGGCCTTCTCAAAGGGTTTTCTATGAATAAAAAACTTCCAAAGGGGGTTTCTATGTAACGAAGACATCCAAACGATCTCATATGGGTTTAAGACCTTTAAATAATTTTTTATTGATATAATACTTTCAAAAGGTCCTCTGTGAATAGAAAACCTTTTATGGGTCCTCTATGGCTGGAAGACTTTGAATGGATCTTTTATTTTTAGATAATCAAAGGGTCTTTTATAGAAAAAGGAACTTCGAAAAATTTCCTATGCACAGAAGGCCTTCAAAGGATTTTTTATTGATAGAAGACTTTCAATTGGACTTTCAAAGTTCTCACATATGAATATAAGACCTTTAAAGGATTTTTTTTCTTGATGGAAGACCTTCAAAGGGTATTTGATGAATAAAATGTCTTTTTCGGATAGAAGACTTTTAAAAATTCTTCTATGGATAGAAGTTCTATTCTATGTATAGAAGGCCTTCAAAAGGTATTCTGTGGGTAAAAGTCCATCAAAAGGTCTCCTATGGATAGAAAACCTTCAAAGGGGTTTCTATGTAACGAAAACCGCCAAAAGATCTCATATGGATAAAAGACTTAAAATATTTTTATTCATACTTTTAGAGGGTATTCTGTGGATAGAAATTTTTCAAAAGGTATTCTATGGGCAGAAGGTCTTTAAATGGGGCTTCAATGTAACGAAGACCTTCAAAGAGTCTTCCAAAGACCTCCAAACGATTTTTTTTGATAGAAGTTCCTCAAAAAGTCTTATCTGATTAGATTTAAAATATTTTTGTGGATAAATTACCTCCAAAATTCTTCTATTGAAAATCTTCAAAGCTGTTTCTATGTAACGAAGACTTTCGACGAAACTTTTATTGATAGAAGACTTTCAAAGGATATTCTATGAACAAAACGTCTTCTAAAGTAAGAAGACATTCAGAAAGTATTTTTAGATTAGAAAAGCTTCAAAATGTTTTCTGTGGATAGATACCTTCAAAATGTAGAATATCTTCAAATGGTTTTCTATGTAACGGAGACATCCAAGGGATCTTGTATGTATAGAAGACCTTTAGAAGCCCGAAATATGTACAGATTTTCTTCAAAAGATCTTTTACCTATAGAAGACTTTCAAAGTGTCTTCTATACATAGTTGGCCTTCTATAGGTTTATTATGGATAGGTTACCCTGGAAATGCAAACACGACATTTCAAGGCTCGACTATATAAAGATGACCTCTTGATGATCTTCTCCACATATAGAAGACCTCCAGATGGTATACAATACACCCAACTTAATGGACTTCTGCTCTACTTACAGAATATATACTAAGTCTTCCTTTTTAACGAAAGATATAGGAAAAATCTTTTTTCGCATTTTGAAATTGTCGCCCCCATCGACCTAAATATCACCACAAATATTAAATATTATTTATGCCCACAAAACTTGTCGTCTATATATATATATACAACTAATTTATATATAACCATGTGTACGTCTATATTTGTCCGTCCATCCGTATTTCAAATTCTTGTGCCTTCTTCCCGAAAGACGTACACACAATACATTGTCTCTCTCTCTTAATCTCTAGTATTTAATTTGTACGCAAGATAGTTTTAAAAATTTTCGAATTTCTAAGATAACCCTAATCCATTGAAATTCTCTTACAGCCCAGACCACAGCAACAACCACAATGAAATGTAACTAGTCTATAAGCGTATTTTTTATATTAAACACACCTTAAGGTAGTCCATAAGATTTTGTTTGTAGTCCATAAGAATGCCACTCTACACACTCGTGTCAAATCCATGAAAAAAACTAATCGCCTTTGTTTTATTCTACTTTTCTATTCCTGCTGCTATCCGATTACGTCGTGTGATGATGGTATAGATACGCAAAGATTTCATTGAAATGTTGCGTGAACGTGGCGATTCCATAGATCGTCATTGCCGCTGGCATGACATTAAAAAGAAATTCGAAATGGATTCGCGTTATCGGGCTGTGGAAAATTCCATGTATCGTGAGGAGTATTTCCATGATTTTCTGCGCATCATGAAGGAGGAGAAGCGGCGTCGTGAGCGCGAACGTGAAAAGGAGCGTGAACAACGGGAGCGGGATAGAGAGCGTGAACGTAAGTCGGGCAAGAGTGATCGCAAGGATAAGGACAAGGATAGGCGGGAGAGGAGTCGCAGTCGTAACAAAGATCATCATGGTGGCGGACGAGATGATAAGGAACGTGATGGCGGTGGCGGCAGTAGCCGAGACAAGGAAAAGGAACGCAAAGACAAATCCGACAAGGATAAGGACAGGGAGGAGAAGAAGAAAAACAAGGATTATGTGAGTGGCTTTACATTTTTAATTTTATTTTTTTCTAAATAATTTTTATTTTCTTGGGTCTCCTGCAGGAGGAAGGTGAACACCAGTCCGAGGAAGAGGAGGCACGTTCAGCCACCACCGACCACGAGGAAGAGGAAGAAGCCGAGCGCCTGCAAAAGGAACGTGATCGCCAACTGAGAGCCGAACAAAGTATACGCGAACGCGAAAAGGAGGTACAACGCACACTGGCCGGTCATTTGCGTGATCGCGATAAGGAACGTGAACTACACAAACGCGAAGAGGCCGTTGGCCATTTTAATGCCCTGCTAACGGATTTGGTACGCAATCCAGATTTCACCTGGAAGGAGGTGAAACGACAATTGCGCAAAGATCATCGCTGGGAATTGGTTGAGTTCTTGGATCGTGACGATCGTGAGAGGTGAGTAGGTGTAGAGTAAAACAATACAAACATTCTGCAAAATCTCAAATTTAGAATGTCTTTGAAGACCTTAAAATTAATGAAAGGACTCCTCCTTTTTTCATGGCAAAATTGTTTGAAATTTGATTTTCAATAGGAAGTTCCTTGCCGACCATGTAACCATAGAAGACTTTTAGAAGATTTTTGGCAAAGATAAATATGATAATTTTATTTATGGAAAACCTTCAAATGATCCTCTATAGTTAGGTGGGGAGGGTGTCAGTATGAGAACATCTAAACCCCGTAAATCTTAGGGAGGTTTCCTTTAAAACTTCTGGAGAATTTTCTAAGCAGACAACAATAAAACTGTCCCTTACAAACCAGCTTCTCAAACTCCCAACTTCAGTTCGTCTCTACAGACTTGATGGCCTTCTGAGAGTCCTTGTGGATTCCTTGGTCTTTCAACTGGTTTCGTCTGTAGCTTGTCTGCATAGACCCTCTGCTCCATTGTAACAGACTACCTTTCGGTAGTTTATACAGACTTTCGGGTTCATTTTCCCATTTTTACAGGCTTCATTTCCTTCAACTCACCTGCATAGGCTTTGAGCCGACCAACTCTTCTGCAGAGACTAACTGACCGTTCTGCCTGTACAGGGTGAGATAAAAAACTGCAATAAAGTCAAACGCCATAATTTTAACATTTTTTTTTGTTGCAAAATCGTCAGGCAAAATCCCATTATTGTTGTTTTTATAAAAACAACGTTTGTTTATGAGTGGAGAACGATGGTAATGTTTACCAGGGGGTAAGGCAGGGAATACCTAGGTTTCGGAAAGAGCCACCAATCCTCATCAGTTCCCTTGTTTCTTGTCTGGGATATTCTCCCCAGAAGTTATTTAAAAAATAACTTCTATGACAAAAAACATTTTTTACCCAAGTGACGAGATCGTAAGCTCAATAGAAGAGGAACAAAAGAATTACATAAAACTAAAATTCTTTTGGAAAATCTTCTAAATCTTACAACCGCACTTATAAACATTTACATCTTTCTCCACTTGTTATGCTTTCGTTCAACCTGAACGAAGTAACATAACCATGTAAGTTTGTTTTGTCTGTTACAACAAAAACCCCTTCGTCGACCGTGCCTGTGTCTATTAATAGAACAGTGTTTGGCTTGCTTGTTTGGGATACCATAGTATTTTGTTGTTGCAAAATCGTCAGCATAACAAGTGGAGAAAGATGTAAATGTTTATAAGTGCGGTTGTAAGATTTAGAAGATTTTCCAAAAGAATTTTAGTTTTATGTAATTCTTTTGTTCCTCTTCTATTGAGCTTACGATCTCGTCACTTGGGTAAAAAATGTTTTTTGTCATAGAAGTTATTTTTTAAATAACTTCTGGGGAGAATATCCCAGACAAGAAACAAGGGAACTGATGAGGATTGGTGGCTCTTTCCGAAACCTAGGTATTCCCTGCCTTACCCCCTGGTAAACATTACCATCGTTCTCCACTCATAAACAAACGTTGTTTTTATAAAAACAACAATAATGGGATTTTGCCTGACGATTTTGCAACAACAAAATACTATGGTATCTATCCCAAACAAGCAAGCCAAACACTGTTCTATTTTTTTTTTTTTTTTAATTTTATTGAATGAAACCAAAAAATGTCGGAAATAGCATCAAATTTTGGAATAAGTTTAGATTTGTTCGAATTGGTCACCTTTGCCACGAATTATGGCCTTCAAACGGCCGAATGTTGCTCTGCGGTATTTTGGTCCATTCCCGACGAAGCGCTTGCTTGAGGCGATCGACACTTTGTTATATTTTAGTGCCAACCTTGCTTTCCAAAATACTCCAGACACAATAGTTCAACGGATTGGTATCCGGAGATTTTGGTGGCCATTGTGCGCTGGAAATAAAGCGAGGAACCTCATTTTGTAATCATTCTTGGGTGGCGCGTGCTGAGTGCGATGGTGCTGAGTTCTGTTGGAATGTCCCAGGTCTGCGGCCAAAAATGTTTGCATGTCCAAGGCTTTAATACACCCTCCAGAATATTTTCGTGATAATTTTAGGCATCTATTCTGATGTCACGGTCGATTAATACGAGCGGAGAGCGACCGTCGGCTGTTATGGCGGCTCACACCATTCACCATGGCCAGCGCTTGAGTTCTGGTATCCAACCGAATGTGCACATTTTCAGCATCAGCTGACCTTTTTGACAAGTAAACACGATCATTCTGTTTGTTTACAAATTGTTGGACAACGAATGTTTTCGGAATGCCATCGGAGAAAACCAAATTCGGCAGTTCACCACTTTCGGCCATGCGAAGCAACTCTTTAGCTCTGTTGAGTCTATTTTTATTCCGCTGCATTTTTTTGGAATTTCAATGGCTTTACCCCGAGCTCATTTTCCAATATTTGCCGAATGGAATATTGCGACATGTTCAGCTCACGAGCTATTTTTCGGCCACTGCGATGCTGGTTTCGATCAATTCGCTTCTTTACTTTTCGAATCATTTCTGCTGATGTTGCTGTTTTCTTCCGTCCACTTTCACTTCCTTGACGTCAGGCTACGCTACCTAACGAGCTATGGTACGAGACACAAAAGATTTATTCACATTTAAATGCTGGAGTGCTCTAACGATAGCCACTTGTGGTTCTCCAACCAAATATAAAGAAGTCACATCGTCCATCACGAATAACTTTTTTTTGTGGAAAATTCTCACCAAAATGCTTTTGTATGCTTGTAAACAATATAATTGTTAATAGTTAATTTATATAAACACTCAAATCAACATTGTAATTAACTGTGAGGACACTTAATGTTTATGCAAATGTCTACAACTTTGAAATTTGTGTCATACGCCATTATATGTACATACACATTTCTTTTCCTCATTACTTCTAATAAACTGATCTCAACAACAGGTTATGGGCCTACATTCGCGTAATTAAAATTTTTTTTTTATTGGAAGTAAATTGATAAAATCATGGCTGCATCGTACACATTATTTCCCAAATTGTCAAATACTAATTACCATGTCTGGAAATTTAACATGGAGTTGCTGCTGCTGGAGAGGGAATTGTGGGATGTTGTTGTTGGTAATCTGCCTGAGGAGCCGGATGAAAAGTGGTTGATTCGTGATGGGAAGGCAAGGGCTGCTATTGGGTTGGCTGTGGAGGAATCACAGAAAATACTCATAAAGCAACTGAAGACGGCGAAAGCTTTCTGGGACGCCTTGAAGAAGCATCACGAGAAGTCAAACATAACCAACAAAGTTAGTCTGCTTCGCCAAATGTCGTCGAAGAGGCTGGTTAGTGGTCAAAGTATGGAAGACCACATTCATGAATTTTTATCAATTGTGGACCGTTTGCGTGATTTGGGTGAGAAGATGGAAGAACACAAAGCTGTTGCATTTTTGCTGGGCACTTTGCCGGATGATTACAATCACCTAATTTCATCATTAGAAATGCGTTCGGAGGAAGATCTGACGCTCGATTTGGTGAAGGAAAAGTTGCTACAGGAGTTCAGGAGAAAGATGTCAGGTGAACATCAAACTGAGGCTGCTTTTAAAGTGCAGAAGAAAAAGTTTGTGCCAAAATGTTTTTCATGTGGAAAGCCGGGCCATATGAAAAAGGATTGTACAAACAAAAATCTGCGAAAACAACAAAAGCCAAACGACAATCGGGCCAATATTGTTAAAGATGGCAATAAAAATGTTTGTTTTGGTATCACAAATGTAAAAGCAAATGGCGATTGGTTTATTGATTCTGCTGCAACTTGTCATATGTGTAGTGAGGAGACATATTTTGACAAAATTAATAAGCAAGTGGATGAAATGGTGTATTTGGCAGATGGTACAATGTTGAAGGTGACTGGTTGTGGTGACTGCAAGATATTTTGTGAAGGCAAGGAAATTCGTGTTCAAAATGTACTATTCATACCAGAGCTGGACGGGAGTTTACTGTCAGTTCGGAAACTAACTGCTGAAGGTTTTAAGGTGTTTTTTGACAGAAATGGTTGTTCAATTTCTCTGGGCGGACATGTTCTTGCGAAAGCTACTTTAAGGAACAATTTGTTTGTGCTGAATCAGTCTTACAAAGCAAATATGATATCGAAATGTAAGAGTGACTGTATTCATATTTGGCATCGTCGTTTTGGCCACAGAAGTCATCAAGCAATTAGCTCAACCGTTACTAAAGAGCTTATTCGAGGTGTGAGCATAAAGAAATGTGCTTGTTTGTTTGATTGTGAGGTTTGCTTGAGAGCAAAGCTTACACGAGCACCCTTTCCAAAGGCATCGGAATCTAGATCGGATGAAATTTTAGATTTGGTACATTGCGACTTATGCGGCCCCATGCAAAATACAACCCCTGGTGGAAATCGTTATTTTTTAACTCTGATTGATGATCACAGCCGTTATTGTACAATATTTTTCATTGCATCAAAGGATTTGGCCTACGACAAAATTAAAGAATTTATTGAACAAAATGAGAACCAATTAGGAAAACGTCTAAAAATTCTTAGAACTGATCGTGGTGGAGAGTTTTTAAATAAAAAGATGCAGAAGTTTTTCAAAAATAAGGGTATAATTCACCAGCTCACTGCCCCCTATACTCCTGAGCAGAATGGAGTTGCAGAGAGGAAGAACCGGAGCTTAATGGAGATGGCCAGGTGCATGCTATACGACGCGAATATTCATATCAAATTCTGGGCTGAGGCTGTCAACAATGCGAACTATATTCAAAATCGACTTTCATCAGTTTCTGTAAATAAAACGCCTTTTGAGTTATGGTTTGGCAGGCCTCCAAATTTGAGCCATATTCGTATTTTTGGTTCCGCTGCTTACGTCCATGTTGAAAAACAAAAACGCAAAAAGTTGGACGATGTGGCTGTCAAATGTATTCTGGTTGGATATTCTGAGGAGAGCAAAGCATTTCGTTTGCTAAATACTGATACCAATAACATCATAATAAGCCGTAACGTGAAGTTTTTGGAATCAAACGATTTTCTTGATGTTCCGAAGAAGGATAACAATTCTGACGAAAATATGGTAATATCTGTCTCTACAATCAATTCTACTAATGTTTCGCCTCTTGCTCATGAAGAAGAAGATAATAATTCGATAAGCACAGAAGAATTTTGTGGCTTTGAATCAGCTGGGGAATTTTCATCGTCTTCTGACGAGGAAATTTTAAATAATGACGTAACAATTAATCCTGATGATACTCCTCGAACTTCTTCAAGATCAAACAAGGGTATACCGCCTAAAAAGTATGGGTACAAAATTTGCGTTGAAGATGATCCAACAAATTTTGGAGAGGCTATGTCCAGATCGGACGGCAAGAGATGGTTGATGGCTATGGAAGAGGAGATGAGGGCATTGCATGAAAACAAACGTGGGACTTGGTGGAGTTGCCACGTGATGGCAACTTGGTCGGCTGTAAATGGGTCTTCAAAGTTAAACATAAATTTAATGGTGAGAAGGAGTACAGAGCTAGACTGGTCGCAAAGGGATTTTCCCAAAAATACGGCGAAAACTACGACGAAGTTTTTGCTCCAGTTGTAAAGCAAGCTACTTTTAGAAGCCTGTTGGCCATCGCAAGCTATAGAAATATGAAAGTTCGTCACGTTGACGTCAAAACGGCGTTTCTTTATGGTGATTTGGACACCGATATATATTTGAAACAACCTGAAGGTTTTATTATACCTGGAAAAGAAAATTATGTTTGTAAATTAAACCGAAGCCTCTATGGGCTGAAACAGTCGGCAAGATGTTGGAATCTTCGTATCAACAAAATCCTAATTGATTCTGGATTCAGAAGGGGAAAGGCTGAACCCTGTTTATATGTTAAAAGTGATACGAACTCAATCACATACGTTCTGATTTACGTCGATGACATTATTGTTGCATCTAAGACTGATGAGCAAATTGAAGATGTTTTACGTATTCTGAAATCCCACTTTGCAATAACGGAATTGGGTGATTTAAGACTCTATTTGGGGATAGAAGTGAGCTACAATAATGGTTTATATTATTTGTCACAAGAACGTTACATTGAAAAAATATTAAATGAGTTTGATCTTCAAGATGTTAAGATTTCTTCAATACCCATGGATCCTGGATATTTGAAGGAAACTACGAATAATTTGCTTGAAAACAATATCTTATACCGGAAGGCTATCGGATCACTGCTGTATATCTCTAACAATACACGTCCAGATATTGCATTTGCCGTTTCAATATTATCTCGGAAAATTACTTGCCCGAATGAAAGAGATTGGACTGAAGTCAAAAGGGTTCTAAAATATCTAAAAGGGACTAAAGACTTGAAATTGCTCGTTGGATCTAAGAGTGAATTGGAGTTGAACGGCTTTGCTGATGCTGATTGGGCAGGCGACATCAATGACCGAAAATCTACAAGTGGGTTCATTTTTAAGCTTGGTGATGCTGTCATCAGTTATGCTAGTCGAAAGCAAGCAAATGTAACTTTATCATCTACCGAGGCAGAATATGTGGCTCTTGCTGAAGCATCTCAGGAACTCTTATGGATTATGCAATTAATGAAGGAATTTGAAATCAACATATCCAGTCCGGTCATTTTTGAAGACAACCAGAGTTGCCTCAAGATACTTCAAGATGAGAAAATAAGCCCTAGAAGCAAGCATATAGATGTTAAGTTTTACTTTGTTCGCGACTTGTATAGATCGAATAGCGTATTATTTAATTATTGTCCAACAAAGTCTATGTTAGCAGACATTCTAACCAAGCCTTTACAGAAGGTTAACATATGTAAATTTCGAATACTGATTGGATTATGTAATTTAGATTAATTCGTTATTTTTATATACATACATATCTTTTGAGCTTATATAAATTAATTTTAAATAATATTTGTAATATTAAGAAGGGGTGTTAATAGTTAATTTATATAAACACTCAAATCAACATTGTAATTAACTGTGAGGACACTTAATGTTTATGCAAATGTCTACAACTTTGAAATTTGTGTCATACGCCATTATATGTACATACACATTTCTTTTCCTCATTACTTCTAATAAACTGATCTCAACAACAATAATGAGCTGTCATTGGAATAATTTTAACAGCTGTCGGACGAGTGGCTTAAAAATGACAGCAGTCTCATGTTGGCTGCAGTTTTTTCATCTCACCCTGTATATACAGAGGATTGATGTCTGTGACAGTTTGTCGTTGAACACTCCATGATCTTTAGCTCGTCTATACGGGTCTCTGCGTTGTTGTTTCAAACTCCTCTATAGAAGATGAGTTGCTTCAAACTCATCTACAGAAGTGGAGGTGTTACACACTCGTCTATAGAAGACGAGTTGTTCCACACTCGTCTATAGAAGTGGAGGTGTTTCAGACCCCGTCTTTAGAAGATGAGTTGTTTCAAACTCTTCTATAGCAGAGAAGTTGTTTCAAACTCGTCCAGAGAAGACAAGTTGCTCCATACTCGTCTAGAGAAGACGTATTGCTTCATACCCGTCATGAGAAGACTATAAAGACTGTCCGCTGTTTCTAACTCGTCTAAAAACTTTAAACACTCTTTCTCAATTTTTTTTCAGAATTTTCAACGAACACATTGATGGTCTAATGAAAAAGAAACGTGAAAAATTCCGTGAAATGCTCGATGAAATTACTACCCTCGAACTGACCAGCAGTTGGAAGGATGTTAAGAAACTTATCAAAGATGATCCCCGCTACTTAAAATATAATAATTCGGAAAAATGTGAACGGGAATTCCGTGACTATTTGGTTGACAAGCAAATGGCAGCCAAGGTGGCGCTCAAGGAGCTGCTCAAAGAATGTAAACTCATCACACACAAAAGTCATGAATTGGTACAGGAAAATCCCAATCATCTTAAGGAGATACTTGATATCCTGAAAATGGATAAGAGGTACGTATGAGTGTAATTTCTCGTTTTGATTACTTTTAATGTAATATTCTTTTCCATGTCCAAAGGTATCTGATATTGGAACACATTGCTGAGGAACGTACCACCATTGTGGTAAACTATCTAGAAGAATTACACAAACGTGGACCTCCGCCACCACCCACAGCCTCGGATGCCTCACGGCGTGTCAAGTAAATGTGTTTTGGATGACAACGACATTTTGTTTCATCAATGGTTCCCATACTGTTATGAGTTTCATTTGGAATTGCCCATTCAAGAGAAATATTTTGTGTTGTAACAACATTATTGATTTCTATTAATAATAGCTGATATATTTTTAAATTAAACCACCACATCTAACGTCAGAGAAATTATTACGAAAAAAAATGATTACATCTGCCTAACACTTACACCTATTTCGAATTGTATTAACATTACATCAGAATGTTTTAAATGTAATTTTAAATTAATAAATAAATTCAAAAGAGCGTGCATTTTGCATAAAATTAAATAGCGTTTTTTTAATTAGGCCCCATGTCTGTATAGAGACAGAATCCCCTGGTCGCCTTTTGGGTCTATAGAGTTTCTGATGAAATGTTCTTGAAATAAGTAAAATATTATCAGTCGGTTTGGCGGACAGATGTATACCCCCAGCCTTGAGTTACGATTATTCAAACTGTTGACCCTTTGTGGGGGATGTTCCGAAGCAGTTGGCCAATATTGAGCAATACGTATCTGACCTAAGAGTGATATAAATATTACAACGTGTCAGATTTGGACTATATAGATTAATTCCTATACATTATTTGAGATATGTGAAAATTTTTGGAAAATGTGGAAACATGCTTGAGGTATCAGACCGAAGTATTCCATACGTAAGTATTTGAAATTGCAACCCTTTGTGGGTGAGGTACCAGAAGGGGTTGGCCGATATATATCATCTTCACAACAAATCTTGTGTTAGCAAAAACGTTTGTATGTGTGAAATTTGAAGAGAGTTGGATGCTTATCTCCCTTTCTTTGAGCGTTTTGTTTTTTAAATATCTTGAACCTTATGTGGCGGAGGTACCAGAGGGAGTGGGCCGATATATCCAATTTTCACACCAGACCTTGGATTAATAAAAACATTGTGATGTTTGTAGTTTGAAGAGGACTGGATGCTTATTTCGGATTTTATGATCGTTTTGGTTATTCAAAATTTTGACCCTTTGTGGGGTAGGTACCAGAAGGAATGGTCCGATCTCTCCCATCTTTATAAAAGATCTTGTGTTGATGGAAATATTGTGATGTACAAAGTCTGAATAGAATCGGGTGTCAATTTCGTATTTTATGAGCTTCATGAATATTCAACACTTTTACCATTTGTGGAGGAAGTACCAGAAGGAATGGACCGATATATTCCATCTTCACTCAAGACCGTGGGTTAGTAAAAATATTGTGATATGTGTAATTTGAAGAGAATCGGACACTTATATCACATTTTATAAGAGTTGTAATTATTCAAAATGTTGAACCTCATGTGGGGGAGGTACCAGAAAGTCTGGTCCGATATGTACCATATTTTCAACAGATCTTGAGTAAATGAAAATATTGAGATGTGCCAAGTCTGAATGGAATCGGATGTTAATTTCGCGTTTTATGAGCTTCATGGATATTCAACATTTTGAACCTTTGTGGGGGAGGTACCAGAAGCAGTGGATCGATATATTCCATCTTCACACCAGACTTTGAGTTAGTAGATATAATGGGACGTGTGTAATATGAAGAGGACCGGATGCTTACTTCGGATTTTATGATCGGTTTGGTTATTCAAAATTGTAACCCTTTGTGGGGGAGGTACCAGATGGAATGGTACAATCTCTGCCATATTTCCAACAGATCTTGTGTTGGTGGAAATATTGGGATGTACTAAGTCTGAATGGATGTTAATTTCAAGTTTTATGAGCATCATGGAAATTAAAAATTTCCGATATATACCATCCCATCCCATGGACCGATATATCCGATCTTCACACCAGACCTTGGGTTAGTAGAAATAATGGGACATGTGTAACAAGAATTGGTTATTCGAAACTTTGACCCTTTGTGGGGGATGTTCCAGAAGAAATGGTCCGATCTCTACCAGAAGGAATGTTCCGATCTCTAACATATTTTAAACAGATGGAAATATTGAGATGTACCAAGTCCGAATAGAATCGGATGTTCATTTCGCGTCTTATGAGGTTCATGGATACTCAAAATGTTGACCCTTTGTTCGAATTGGTCATCTTTGGCATGAATTTTGGCCTTTAAACTGCCAATGAAACCGTCACACGCTGCCCGACTGTGCTCTGCGGTATTTTGGCCCATTCTCGGCGAAGCGCTTGCTTAAGGTGATCGACACTTCGGTATTTTTTTAGTGCCAACCTTGCTTTTCAAAATACTCCAGACACAATAGTTCAACGGATTGTTATCCGAAGATCTTGGTGACCATTGTGCGCTGGAAATGAAGAGAGGAACCTCATTTTGTAACCATTCTTGGGTGGCGCGTACTGAGTGCGATGGTGCCGAATCCTGTTGGAATGTCAAAGGTCTGCGGCCAAATATTTTCGGGATAATATTCGGCATTTATTCTGATGTCACGGTCAGTTAATACGAGCGGAGAGCGACAATCGGCTTTCGGCTGTTATGCCGGTCCACACCATCACCATGGCTGGCGCTTGAGTTCTGTTGACTGAAGGTGCACATTGTCAGGTGACCTCTTTGGCAAGTAAATACGATAATTTTGTTGTTTACAAACTGCTGGACAACGAATGTTTTCGGAATGTCATCGGAGAAAACCAAATTCGGCAGTTCACCAGTTTCGGCGAAGCAACTCTTTAACTCTTTTGAGTCTATTTTCTTTCTGTTGCGGTGTAAGTTCTTGTACTTTTTGCAATTTCAATGGCTTTACCCCGCGCTCATTATACCCTCAGCCATATGGCTACAGAGGGTATATATCATTTGATACGGCCAAAACGTGCCTAGTCGAAATAACGGTTTTAGACCCTAGGTCTCTATGGGCCAAATCCGTTTCAGAACATTTGGAGTTGATCTACCTATGTCCGTCCGTCCGTCTGTCTGTCTGTCTGGCTGGTGCGCACGATAACTCTCGAAGGGAGTATCCGATTTGGTCCAAATTGGGTACATCGTAATATTTTTGTCAAACTTAGATCGAGTTCGGAGATGGGCAATATCGGTCCACTCCTTCTGGTACCTCCCCCACAAAAGGTCGAAATTTTCAAAAAAAATATATTTTTTGCACAGAATGAGAAAGGATAATCCGAATTTGCTCCAACTTTGCAAATCCTAATATTTGCGTCAGTGCTAGGTCAGGTGTGAAAATGGACAATATCGGTCCACACCATCAAGTACCTCCCCCACAAATGGTCAAAAATTTGTATAATTACAACTTTTATAAAAAGTGATGTCAGAGTCCGATTGTCTTCAAATTTCACACATCCCAATATTTATATTAACCCAAGGTCTGGTGTTAAGATGAACAATATCGATCCACTCCATCTAGTACCTCCCCCACAAATGGTCAAAATTTTGAATAATTACAACTCTCATAAAATGTGATGTAAAAGTCCGATTGTCTTCAAATTTCACACATCCTAATATTTGTATTAACCCATGGTCTGGTGTGAAAGGTGAATACATCGGTCCACTCCATCAAGTACCTCCCCCACAAAATATTGAAATTTTGAGTACCCATGAAGCTCATAAATCGCCAAATTAACATCCGATTCCATTTAGACTTGGCACATCTGTCGAAATATTTATATCATATTTTTGGGTCCGATAGGAAATGGACAATATTGGCTCACTCCTTCAGCACCTGCTCCATAGAAGGTCAAACGTTTGAATAATCTTAACACTAGTCAAAATATATTTAAATAATCGAACATAGGCTGAGGGTATATATCTGGCGGCAATACCGACTGATACTTTTTAACTTGTTTTTTAATATTCGCCGATATGTTCAGCTCACGAGCCACGAGCTATTTTTCGACCACTGCGACGCGAGTTTCGATTAAGTCGCTCCTTTACTTTTCGAAACATGTCTGCTGATGTTGCTGTTTGCTTCCGTCCATTTCCTTAACGTCGGGCTACGCGACCAGTATCACGGTAACGAGCGATGGTACGAGACACAAAAGATTTATTCGCATTTAAATGCTGGAGTGCTCTAAGGATAGTCACTTCTGGTTTTCCAGCCAAATATAAAGAAATCACACTATCACGCTTGAATTCCTTCACGAATGCCTATTTTTTCTGGAAAATTCTCACCAAAATGCTCTGGTACGCTTGTAAACAATATAATGAGCTGCCACTGGAATAATTTTAACAGCTGTTGGACGAGTGGCTTGAAAATGACAGCAGTCTGAAGTTGGTTGCAGTTTTTTCATCTCACCTGTAAAGACCCCTTTTATCTACTTCCCCACCAAACATTCGGTGTATTTTGATTTAAACAAACTCCTCTTTCTTTTCATTATTGTATTTTATTTATTCCACTTGTTTTATACATGTACTTTTTTATTGTTGTTGTTTGTTTTGTTGTTTTTTTTTTCATTAAATTTGTTGTTGCCATTTTTCGAAATAATAGCTTACAAATATAATGTTTTCTTTTGGTAATATTATTTATTTGCCAATTGTTTTGTTGTTGCTGCTGTTCTTCTTTTTTTAAATTATTGATTGTTATAAATAAACAAATACATATTTCATTGTTTTATTTTTTATTTTTTTTAATAATAATAAGAAATATTTTATAATAAATTTGAAATTAATATACCTTAATTTTCAGCATTCCGGTGTTGGTAATTGTTTTTTTATTTTCCTTTTAAATATGAAATTATTTAATAAAAAATTTCAATTTTTAATTTTTGTTTTGTTTTTTGTCTTTAGGAACTTAAGGGCTAGTGTGTGTGTGTGTGAAACTAAAGAGAGAGTCCATTGGAAAAAAAAAACATTTTTTTTTAATTTCTTGAAATATATAAAAAACATTATTAACTAAATTAATTGAATTATAATAACCAGAGGGCTATTGTTAGCTCATGAACACCGCGCGTCCAGTCTCTTCCCTCTTTTGTTTGAGTTTTTTTTTGTTTTGTTCTTCTTTTTTGCATTCCTATCTCTTTTGTTTTGCTAAATATTTGAACCATTCCTATATAACTGCCTCTATTTTGATCTATTTTTTCATGAGATTTTTTTTGTTAATTTTTCTTTTTTTTTTGTTAATTATATTGATTGATGCTTAGGCACAACGTATGTTTTCTTTTTTTTTCCTTTTTTATGTTTCTAATAAAATACATTTCAGTTTTATTTTCGGGTTTCTTTTCTTGTAACTATCGTTGGTGTTGTAGAAATGTTGAGCTATGTGGATTCATGGTGGGGAAGGTCACAAAAACCAAGAAATAATTCCAAATTTGATTGTTTTTAAATATCTCAGCCTCTCTAAAAACTTAGCTATAAATTCTCCCTGGACAGGCTCCT